AACAAAAATATACAAAAATAACCCCCATCGTACCACCCCACACCTAATAACTATGTTGCCATGGATTCCACTTAAAAAAAAATTGAATTAATGACAATTTTCAAGAACATAAAAATAAATAACTTACAAAATATTTAGATTAACATAATACGTTACACTTCATATATATTTCAAAATATCATTACTTCTTTTGATACATATTTTATTGGAATTTAAATTTTCTACTTTATTTATATTTAACTTTATTCAATTTTTATCTAGAAAAAAAAGTTTGAAAATGTAATACAAGTTTCTTTATTGATCGTTCTTAATGAAATTCTAAACTATCAATAAAYATAGTTAGATCACAAAAGTTTGCAAAACAATTTAGTCGTAGCTGTATTCATAATATTTTCAGTTTGTATAGCTTTAAACTGAAAAATGTRATTCAAGGTTCATAAATATACAAAAAATCTTTCATAATTTAAAAACATCAAAAATTCTTAACCGTATTTTTAACAGACATCGAGGTAGGTGATCAAATTTAGATGTATTATAATTTTTAATTTTTAAATTAATTTACCATAAATTATATCTGCCTACAAGTAAATTTGGCATTATTTTATATAATAACGWTTCTATTGAATGAGGTAAACAAAAAATAATGATTTTTTCCTTTTAAGGTCTTAGTTATTTGGTTGTAAATATTTACAACAGTAATTTACATCTAATATCTATAAATAAATGTATAATGGTACAAGAAAGAAGAATTTATCTATGTGTAACCCACTATAATAATATAAATCTACATTAACATTTTTTAACACGTTTGGACTAATTTTACATCCTAAATATGCATTGATAATATTCATACTATTCTAAGTTACGTCACTATTGACTTAAAAGTTAAGTAATTTAAAAACAACAATATTACTATTTCTATTATTATTATATTAWAGCTATAATTATATTATATTAGGTACCTACTTAATTTAGAATAATACAGTTGCATAAAAAATAGTAGTTTTTAATGTGACACTTGTGATTTTAAAACTCTTTTACTCATTAGTTACATCATAGCRTTAAAGTGCAAATGAATTAAATAAAATGTTGTTAGTAATATTAATAATACACATTCCTTCGTCKAAGAAATTCAATTAATCAATGTGTATACCGACTGTATATGTTTGATAAACACTGATGTGGAAGCGCAATGGCGCTGTTTACTTTTAGTAGATGATGATGGATTTACTGAGTTGAGTCATAAAGTTTCAGAAGTCTATCGTTTACTTTGGATGGTTCAAAGAGAATTTTGAATGAAAACAAAGCTTAAAAAATACATGTGGTACCAACGAATTCCATTGGATGATTACCAAAGTATTGTTTTTATAATATTTTGTTCTTATATTATATTTCGTCTTCAATATAAAGCTTTCGCGACATCAGTAAGAAATTATTTTGCTTATCTATGGTGGTTGTGTAATAATATGAATTCTTTAACATGTAATGTGGTACCTTCGGTGCCACCGTTCTGCGCGAATTACGTCCACCGAACGCGTTCAATGTTTCCGGTTGACAAACTTTGGTTATGACCACCATAGATTTCGGTACCTAACAAAGTTTTGCTATACGATTCACCAACGACTGCACTGCAGTAAACTTGGCCGACACTTGGCTTTAAACGTATTAAAAAAAGACATTACTTCCACCATCCAATTTTTAAGACGGAAACAGTGATCAATAAGAAACGAATCTATTATGTCTTATCCAATAGAAATTATACAATATATTTTAATTTAACCACAATGTTTTAATTATACATTTTTAGGATTATCAATGTATTATACATTTTTATACATACAGTAAACGACTAAATAATATTGATTACTTTATTTTTCTATTTAGTTAAAARAAATATGTATATATCATAATGATTACATTATTAAACATTTAAAGCTTGCATAATTATTTAATTTTAAATGAATAATTGTATACAATATTATTACAAGACACATAGTTCCTTAAGGCTTTATAAATAATTAATTTAAATTATTCTATTTCGAAACTTGTATAAGTAATCAGCTGGTTAACTTGAATCATAAATACCATTGAACTTAATAATTAAATATTTTACTACATTTTTTTTTTTACACTTTTTATAATAAGAAAAGTCAAATATAATAATAAAAATATATATTTACACATAGTTACAAAGTCACCGTAGTAATAAAAAT